AGCCCCGGCTGTACTGACCCGCTTGGTCCCAGTCACTGAGGCAGTGGACCCACATCCATGATGCAGTGTCGCCCATGGTATCGAGGAAGAGAATGCAGGCAAACAGGTGTAGGATCCATACCCCGCAGTAGTACCCAACTATCTCCTCATCTGCCTCCTTGGGGCACTGTGCGAACTCTTGCCGGAGCTAGGAGATGAGAACTCCAGAAGTGCGAGCCCCTTGCTCGTCAACCTCACGCCTAAGGAAGGCCTCCACTCGTGCTCTCCATCCTTCTGACCTGCACTACTCGGTGACTGTGTTGCCGTGAATCCTCAGGCCTAGCATCTTCTGACAGTCCTGGAGCGTGACTGTCATCTCCCTGAAAGGTAGGTGGAAGCTGTGAGTCTCCGGCTGCCACCTATATTTTAGACAAAGCAAGATTACATGTCAAAAAGGCAAGCACATGAATGGAGGCAATGATTGAATATAATACCTATCAACCGACGCAGTTATGGCCGCCGAGTTGAATTTGGGCAACCCACGATGAACCTAAAAAGAGATGACATCCAAGCCAGCTCTTTGCGGGAAAGGAGTGTACCTGTCGTCGTACTACATGTCCAAGAACCCATTGTGGGTTCTAGGACGAAGGAGCGAAATGTCCTGCATTGAATAAAACATAGTCTCCTATTACTTCACGAACACATGTACGCTCACCAAAATTTGAACAAAACGTATAGGTTATTACCTGCCCCTGCGCTATGAGACGTCCTCGGTGGGTCACCTCGTAAGTCGGGTCGAGCAGGTGGAATTGCGCCATCCTACAAAAAAAGTCAATGAATTAGAAATTCAATATACAATGAAACATGAACTTAGAAATGTACAAGTAATTAACACAATTACATGCACAAATTGAGACATGCATAATTAATTAAATGAATATGGCAAATATGAAATAATAAAATCAACCAATAGTTGCACCTCACTAATCTACCAATGGCAACTTCGTGAATTGTGGCCAAGTCTACCACACTTGCCGCACTCATACTGCTTGGGGTCAGTAACAAATGGGGTTCCTCTCCCATGCCTCGTTCTTCCGAGTATCTGATCCATAACCATCATGTGCCTCGTCCTCTTCCTTGATCCACGCTTGTTCCAACGGTAAGCTAGATCCGCAATGTACTTCGGCCCATCATATGGAGGCCACTCTCCAGGGTCCCAGAAAGGCATGAAGCGGGGGCTCCATGTGTGCACAAGCGTGTCGACACTGAACTCGTGAGGTTTCCTGCTCTCGATATTATAGTTACGATGCCTAGCTGCTGCCACCAAATGGGAACATACAAAGTGGTACAGCCTTGGTTTACCACAAGTGCGTTTGAAATCTTGGAGGATAACCACATGCATCCTCGACTCTCGGACCTCGCCGTCGGACGTTGTACCACCCCTATGCTCCACCTAATAAGTCCCTGTGGCGTGGTCAAAGCATGTAACCTCATGTGTGCCAGCCCTTTCATTTGCCTTCTCTAGGTGTGCCTTTGGTTTCGGAGCCCATATCTCTCCATCACTCCACAACTTCAATGCATGGGCGTGTCTATCGTTGAACCAAGCAACAAGCTTGTAGAAGGTGAATTGAATGATTGCATTTACGGGCATAGCACGTATCTCCAATAGCAACTTATTGAATGACTCCACCATGTTGCTGCACTGAAACTCGTACCTCCATCCACCGACGTCGTGAGCTCTCGTCCATTTCTCTAAATCCCTCATCAAACCTGTGAGCCATTGTCTACCTTCTACATTTGATGCAGTTCTGACCTGCTCCAACTTTTTCTGAAAGTACATGTCCTCAAGCTATCGAGCAGCCTCCTGGAACAGATCAAAGTTACCCTTCACACCATCCTTCCGGAGTAGATTCATGGCAAGGTGCCGAGTACACCAACGATAGTGCAAAGGTGCATACCCCTCTATCTGCTCTCGCACGGCATTAAGTATGCCCTGGTGCCTATCAGATATGACACCAACCTCCCTGCCAGGCCCAACCACATGTATCCGGACTAGCCTCAAGAACTATCTCCAACTGTCATTGTTCTCATTCTCAACCAAAGCAAATGCCAAAGGAACCAACTTGTTGTTCGCGTCACAAGATATGGCTATAAGAAGTGTGCCCTGGTATTTACCAATCAAGAATGTACCATCAATAGAGAAGACGGGACGACAGTGCCTAAAGGCCTTGACACACTGAGGGAAGCATCAGAAAGCATGGAAGAATATCTGCCTCCCATCCTTCCATGCATTTGGTTTTGGGATATACTCATAATGCATGCCTGGATTCACCGCTTTGATTGCATTGAAGAGTACTGGCAGCTGCTCATACCCATCCTCCCAGTCCCCATATATCATCTTCCACGCTCGTTGCTTAGCCCTCCAAGCTTTACCATAAGTTATCACATAACCTCCATACAACGCCTCAACAGTCATGATAATTGTCCTAACATTCATGTTGGGTTTTCCCTACAATATTCCCATCAACCGCTTGGCAATGAGGGTAGATGTCAACTGCCGATGCCTCAGTGTCAACACATGGTCAGCACAATTGTGTGGCCCGATAACTTTTGTGATCTTCCACTTTCCGGTGACCTTTTGCTTCCTTGCACAAACCCTCCATGAGTAGCGTTTCTTGTCACACACAACTATGTAACAGCGCTCTGCATATGAATGCAAGACCTTGTAAGGTCTCTTTCGTATCACTCCAAATGCCTGCAACCACCTCTTCAATGCATGGAGGTCCTTGAACACCCTCCCATTCTCAATTACCATGTTAGGGCCCACCTCAGGAGCTTCTAGGAGCTTATCATCACGTCCTTCTACACACGCCTGATCGGAATGAGCAAGATCGCTGAACTCATGAACTCTTGGATCATGACGGTCGGGAAAGATATGCCTCAGCATCTCAACATCACTCTCTGTCAGCTATCCAATAGGGCAATCATCATCAGAATCAAGAGCCCTTGCCATCTCATATGGCTCCGAATCATGCATAGTTTCAACACTATTGGAGCCACGGAATCCATCTTCACAATGCACTTGCACAGTAACAGGGGCACATCCACATTCTCAGAAATGTCTCCTGCAACATAAGTAGAGAAATGAGGAAAGAATGAAAGAAATGGATGTAAGGAAGAGGGTAAGCTCCCAATAACAATGTGGTTAAGACACTTACTCGGATGATTCTATGTCAAAGGGATCTCATGAAGAGGATCTGCCACAACAACATGAGTCTGACAAGCATCTCCAACTATCGCATTGGGGGCAGATTGAGCATCGGGAACCATAGGTGCAACCTCCACATCCATATCAGGTTCCGGGACGGGAGGGTCGATGTGTGCTTGCTGACCCATTAGCGGGGAAAACCCATGAGGGATGGGATCGACTAACACCCGACGCACAACCACGTCCAAACATTGTAGTTGGCTCTTCATAGTCGATCTCGCATAATTCTCCCACTGATCTGCACAATCAATTGGAATCATTCGCCTAAGGATGTTGGAAGGAGAACCTAGGTGCAGTACACCCTCAACTGCAACGCCATCATCTCCAAGGCAATGCAGCTCCTCTCGAGCCCTTGCAACCATCTCACTAAATCAAGGTCTATCATTGAATAGCACAGGCACGTTTTGCATGTCAATAAACTCAACATATCCATAGCGATCGTATTCAACGGTGTCTCTATGATATATGATCACTAGGTTGTCCATCTAGTTCAAACATATAACGAAACACATGTCATTTAGTCTAAATTAGACGATAGATAGTACCTAACAAGTACTTTCTAACTACGAACTAAGTAAATAAGATAATAACTACATACATAGATACAGTGTACTAACTAAATAGCTAGATCTTATTTAGTTAACTAAATATGTAACTACCTATCTAAGTAGCTATCTAACTATATCTATGTACCTATGTATCTATGTTTCTATCTATCTACATATCTATCTCACTAGATCACTAACTAAATCAACTACCCGAGTCATCACATTAACTAGTAAATAACAAATACCAAAACTACTATACTAAAATCAAAACTAACTAAGTACGCACATTGCAAATTCATAATTTTTACCTGTCCGACGACGGAGTCACGGACGTCGACGGAGTTGCAGTGGACGCCGGGCGTGGGTCAGGCCGACGAGCCGGGCCGGTGGTGGCACGGCCAGGCGTTGCAGGTGCTGGGGCCGGCAGGGGCGCGGTCGAGGACGGCGGTGGCGCGCGGCGGGCGCGGGAAGCCTGGCGCTCCGTGCGGTGAGGCCGGCTCGGCGGGCGCGGGTGGCATGGCAGACGCGCCCGAGGTCAGCGGTGGCGGGCGGCACGGTCACGGTCACGGCACCGGCGCGGCGAGGCGCGGCCAAGGCGGCCGCGGGCGCGGCGCGGCCGTGGGGCGCGGCGCGGCCTCGGTGTAAGCTCGGCGCCAGCAACGATGGCGCCGAGCTAAGGGTCCAGATTTTGAAATCTTACCTTTAGGGGCATATTTGTGAAAAATTTTCAAAAAAAAAGCTAAAAATAAAAAATTCGGCAAGTTTGACAACATGTACAAGTGTGGCCGGTGCGGGTGTGCGGCTGTGACGGTCCAGGCCGTCCCGGACGGCTGGACCGTACGTCGGATTGGCACGTGTGTTCCGGTGGTAGCTGGCTCCATCCAGTTGCTAGGGCCGGAGAGTGCAGCACCAGCGCGTGCCGCACACCAAACACTCCAAACCCTGTCGTCGTCGCAATCGCAACCACCAGTCAAGACAAGAGTATCGTGAGTTAGTTTGCAGAAGAATTGCAGGTAACAACACCAGGGCATGCACGCGATGCGCCACACTGCATTGCAGCTATTACAGTACAGAAGAACAGCAAGTGTGTGTCTATCTATCTATCTATAAAATCTCAAGAAGCAGAGATGCATGGCACCGGGCATCGACGATCATCCATCTATCCATCAAATCTCCAAAGTCGGCAATAGTGAATTACTAGCTAGATGGCGTCGCCGTCGCCGCTGCTGCAGCTGCCGGCGCGCGTGGAGGCTCTGAGCGGCCTCTCCGCCATCCCGCTCGAGTACGTCCGCCCCGCCGACGAGCGAGCCGGCCTCGGGGACGCCTTCGACCTGGCGTGCACCCATGCCAACGACCACACCGCGCCGCGGATCCCCGTCGTCGACATCTCCCCCTTCCTGGACGCCACCAGCAGCCAGCAGCAGCGGGACGCGTGCGTGGAGGCCGTGCGCGCCGCCGCCGACGACTGGGGCGTCATGCACATCGCCGGCCACGGCATCCCCGCCGAGCTCATGGACCGCCTCCGCGCCGCCGGAGCCGTCTTCTTCTCCCTCCCCATCCAGGACAAGGAGGCCTACGCCAACGACCCCGCCGCCGGCCGCCTGCAGGGCTACGGTAGCCGCCTCGCCACCAACACCTCCGGGCAGCGCGAGTGGGAGGACTACCTCTTCCACCTGGTGCAACCCGATGGGCTTGCTGACCACGCGCTCTGGCCCGCGCACCCGCCCAACTACGTCCCCGCCACCCGCGACTTCGGTCGCCGAACACGGGAGCTGACCTCCACGCTGCTTGCCATCCTCTCCATGGGGCTCCTCGGCCCAGACCGCGGCGACGCACTAGAAAAGGCGCTCATCACCCACTCCTAGGCAGAGGCAGGAGACGAACATGAACAGAAGCAGCAGGACCTCGACCTCCTCCTGCAGTTCAAGATCAACTACTACCCGAGGTGCCCACAGCCGGAGCTGGCCATCGGCGTCGAGGCCCACACGGACGTCAGCGCCCTCTCCTTCATCCTCCACAACGGCGTGCCGGGGCTGCAGGTGCTCCACGGAGGCCGCTGGGTCACGGCGCGCGACGAGCCGGGCACCATCATCGTGCACGTGGGCGACGCCCTGGAGATCCTCAGCAACGGCCGCTACACCAGCGTCCTCCACCGCGGCCTCGTCAACCGGGAGGCCGTGCGCATCTCCTGGGTCGTCTTCGCCGAGCCGCCACCGGACGCCGTGGTGCTGCGCCCGCTGCCGGAGCTCGTCACGGCAGACCAGCCCGCGAGGTTCACGCCGCGCACATTCAAGGAGCACCTGGATAGCAAGCTTTTCAAGAAGAAACAGCAGGAGCAGCAGAAAGCAAAGGAGGAGGAGTATGGCAATGGTGTCCACCACCACGACGAGCCGCTGCCTCAGACTCAGACCAACTGATCTCCCTCTCGTCGATCCATCAATAATACGACAATCTATCTATGCATCTGGCCACGCATATCTTCGCTCGCTAGTAACTAATAAGGAATTATCCTGCATTTTCATATATTTTTGTGTGGATCATATCGATCAATTTGTGCTACCCTCAACCATTCATTATGTCCGTTCCATTTACTCAATTTACTACTGTCGACTTTTGAAACTTGATCAAATCATCGCTTAGTTAAATTTGTCCCCTTTTCTTGTTCCTCGTTATAAAATTGTGTTTTTCGTTTCGAATTTGTGGGTGGCAAAAAACATAAACAAAGGACAGAACCTCTAGAGGAGACAGGAGAGTAATAAGGAGTTCTGTGGCTCATGGACCATGGCCGGCCGGCTATCTTCTTGCATGATATATCTATCCTTTTCTTAGTTAGTTTGCTCCTCTACTTAACATCGATAACATAGGAACAGTCCACAAATTAAACAAATCTGCTTTTTTGAGAAAAATTAAACAAGTCTGCTGCTAGATTGTGACGATCTCTTTTCTCAATTTGCTGTTGTAGTACTTTTGTAGATTTATTTTGGACTTTGTGATGTTTGCCGGCTTGTTCAGACTTCAGAGAGCCCAATATGAACTTATAGAGAAGATAGGAGCAGTCTCTGAAATGGGCTGGGCTTCCAAAGGAACCTTAGAGTTTCAAATACATTGGTGAATTGGGCTCTTTCTCTCTGAAAAAAGACTGAGATTACGGTGATTTGGTTGTAGAGCGCACAAACTTCAAGGTTCTACTATTTGCATATTACAAATCAATGGCAGGAAATAGAGGAAATGAGGTGATAAGTTAGAAAGGCTAAAAATTTAACTAGATTTGAACCAAATTTTATATTGAAGATAAACTACACAACTTAGGTGATAACCCATACTTATTGCTTGGATGAGACGATAACTACTCCCTTAGTTCTAAATTATAAGATGTTTTTTACTTTTTTGGATCCATAGCTTTTACTATACGCCTAGACATATGTTATGTCTAGATACATAGTAAAAAACTTTGAATCTTGAAATGTCAAAACGTCTTATAATTTGGGACGGAAAAAGCAACTATTTTTCTATATAGCAGCTCTGATTTAACAGTGCTAATGATGATTTTCTTAGGTGGGCCGATGCTGCAGCGGTGCAGCCCCGGCAGCACCAGTCCTTCCTCCGCCCGTGTCAGAATACGCCAACAAAACCAAAATGTCGAAATCACATAGCTTGATGAATAACACAAACATAAAAGGGGCTCAAAACTAGGTAGTGAAATGGAGCTTGTGCATTGTCAGTATCACAGGTCATGCAGCAAAGGTGCAAAATAGTATGCTCAAACTTTCATATAATCAAATTAAAAGAAACCAAACTTTCCTGAATACTGAAATTTGATCCAACCCATAAAACTGAAGTATAGTGGATTGCTGGTGGCACACATGTTCATAATGTCAGAGACCCAGAAAATAACAGGTTAATATGGAAAACCATCAATCAATATATTCAGAAGCAATAGAAAAGAGTAACTCACAAGCTCAAAACTACAGCAGCAGGCAACAAATAGCTACAGGTTGCGAGTTGTAAGAAGATCCTGCCACAACCAAAATCGCACAGCCAGTTGGTAGAATCTATACAGATTCATGGTTTACCTGTACACTACTACGTGTGCATATAGCAAGTTCGCCAAAAAAGCTCAAGGACATCCAAATAAATTACCTGAGTTACAACATGCAAACCAACTTGAAAACTTCATTGACAGTCAGTTGCAAGCAGCCGAGAACGAAATCATAATCGGTTGGTATTAATTGGCCAACCACAGCACAGAATTGCTCATTAGCCATAACAGAGTAGACAGGTGGGAATGAATGTACTCCAGCGATTTGTTCCATTTTCAACATATATATAGAACAAAGAATGGGGGAGAATTATCAGCCCTACCCTATCGGCTTATTACCATGCTAGTTTACAATTTGAGGTAGTTTGTAATTACTGATTCTACAACAAATTGTGTAGCCAAGCAGTCAGAAGCTATATTATGGCTGGCAGGTCCTAAGAATTATCAGCGTTGATATCTTTGTGTAGCAAAGAAGCCAGCAGGAAACCTTCGGTGGTTCTTGTGTGCGGTGGTGCTCCTGGTGCTGCTGCTTCTGCTTCTGAAAGGAGTAAGACCAGCATCCACAGTGCTGGTAGGAGGTGAAAAATAGTGAACACTGCGGCTGCGGCGGAGCCAGTGGAGCCTGTCCTTGAGGCGAGGCCGGCAATGGTGGACATGTGCATGTCCAACAGAATCACCGGGGAGTGATATCTCAGAAGAGTCCATACCATTCCCAGCGGAAGACACGGAGTGGCTGCCGTTGAGTCGGATACCTTGCGACTGGGACGAAGAGGATCTTGCAATGGCGGCGCCCCCAGGGTGGAGGGCGTACCTTGACCTGGAGGACTCGGAGAAGGACCTGTTGAGCAGATGTCCTGCGGGCTTGGCGAGGAAGCCCTTGATGGGCCACAGTTGGTTCCACCTCAGGCTCCCCGTCCTCCTCTCGACCATGGCAACGCAATTGCTTCCCGCAGAAGCAGCGGCGTTGTTTGGGTGTGGATTAGCAGGCGCCAGCGCCACACCAGCAGCAGCAGCAGCTGCGGCAGAGGTGGTGGAGGAGGAGGCGTCCAGGGACTGACGGGAGGGTAGGCAGGAGGAATGGTTGGCAGCGGCGGCATCACAGCAGGCGATCCATTCGCTGCAGGAGTGACGAAGGGAGCGCTTGCGCTGGAGGTGAGGCGGCGGATCTTGGAAGTCGCCGCCACTGGTGGAGGCGGCGGCGTCGATGCCGGTGCCGGTGCCCTGCTCACGCTCCTCTCCTTGGTCCTCTAGCTGGAAGAGGCGAAGGAGCGTGGTTCTCCCTGCCCCTATCCTTCTCCCCACCGCTGGCGGTTCCCCTGTTGTCCCTGTGGAACAAGAAGCAGGGAACTCCTCCTCCGGGTCCTGGTGGAAGGGAAGCGAAGGCGGACGAGGCGGCGGCGGCGGCGGCGGCCGGGAAGGGGAGGCCACAACCACACCAATTAGATTGGTAGCGTGGAGCCTGTCGAGGAGGCAGGCGGAGCAGAAGCCGGTGAAGGGCGGCTCCGACGGGTGCTTGGGGCACCTCCTCCCCATCCCCGACGCAGCATCGCCATCGCCCATCCAGATAGGATGGGATGGGATGAGATGGGATGGGGATTCCGCTTCGAATCAAGTGCTTGGATTGGAATCTTGGACTGGTGAGGAGGTGAATTGGAGGCTGGATTGGATGCCGGAGATCAAACGGCAAGGTTTGACTAGGGTTTTGACCAGCGATCTGGTCAGGTCGGGTAGGTGGAGCGTTGAGTAAGTGGGGAATGGCCTACACGGCTAGAGGAAGAAGACGAATAGAGGAGAGAGCCGTTGGCCCGTTGCGTTGCGTCGCGCTCCTTCCTCTCCTCCTCCGCCTCCGCCGCCGTTGGATCTGGAGGATGGATGGATGGATGGATGACCAGGATCAAGTCACGCTGCCACGTGGGCCCCGTTATCAGGATAGAATTCGCCTATTCCATTTCCATTCCTATCGAAAGACAAGTCCTAACTATCTTTTTTTTTTTGAAAGATCCGGTTATACCAGCTTGTATTAATAAGTAGAAGATAGAGTTCAACATACATGCGCAAGCTGCGCCATCCCAAGTGATAGACCGCCACCTGGGATGTTAAGGTTCTATGCTAATTACTCATTGAATTCATCCCAATCCTGAGGAAGTGGAAGGTCCTCCTCCTGCTGACGCCCAATTGGAGTACTCATCCTTGATCTTGGCGAGCAAAGGCACGTACGGTGCTATGGTTTTGTTGAAAACAATAGCATTTCTTTCCTTCCAAATATGCCAGGTAGTCAGCATTGCTAGTGAGTGCGTTGCTTTCGTTCCGATACTTGTGATTGCAAAGAACCACTCTTCCATGTCGCTGTAGTCGTTCCAACCCTCCGGCTGAAGGTTAAGGCAACTGCTCCATGTTGCTACCATCATCCAGACTTCTCTCGCAAACGGGCATTCCGTGAATAGATGGACGGCAGTCTCCAAATTCCTTTCACACATAGCATAAAATAGTTGTTTTCCCATCCCCTCAACTGCAGCCTGGCTGCTGTCCAGACTCGATCTTGCAGGAGCAACCATAAGAAAAATTTGATGCGGGGTGTCGCCCATGCCTTCCAGATTAGTTTTGGAAAATTGGAGAAAGTCTGACCGCAGAACTGAATTTCATAGGCCGACTTGGCACTGTACTCGCCTGAGCTCTCAAGAGTCCAAACAATAGTGTCCTCTTGCTCACATGATTGGTCCAGATGCAAAGTGTGTATAAGTTTCCACAGCTCGACAAAATCTCTCAATATCTCTGCATACAGATTGTGTGCAATGTCCTGAATGAGCTTACCATCAAAAACGGCCTCGCGCACTGTCCTTTTCTTCCGCTTTACATGCGTGTACAGGCTCGGGAAAAGGGAGGCCGGTGATCCCCGATCCAAAGACGAGGTCTAGAAAGGCGCTCTCCGCCATTGCCTATGGTTACTTTGGTTGCCGTCGAGAAAAGGGCGATGTCCTTCTCATCCACAGTAGTCGCATCCCAAATTACGGTCTATCTATCTGACGCTCCACATTAGCCATAACCCAGTAGATCTTAATGCTCTCATGAACCTCTCCATATCTATGATTCCGAGGCCTCCATGGTGGATAGGTCTTGCAACCAACGGCCAAGCCACCTTGCATTTCCCAACTGTGATTTCTCCATCTCCAAATTTCACGTGAATCGTCTTCTTAGCTTGTCGAGATCTTGTAGTAGTTGTTTTGGTGCCTTGAGAGGTTAGCATATAAATTGGAATCGCACTTAGGATCGGCGCACAAGCTCTCTTCTCCCCGCCGGATTCAAGAAGCGTCCTTGCCACCCGACTAGCTTCTTTCTTGCCTTGTCTAAAATTCCTTGGAGATGGACAATCTTTAGCCTTCCCAAGGTCAATGGTAGTCCTAGGTAAGTGATTGGAAAATGCACCTTCAGGCCTGCAAATGGTTCTAAAACTTGATCCAGATTGATACCGGCACATCTTATGGGAGCTACTGAGCATTTTGTCCAGTTTAATCTCAACCCAGTCATCGCCCCAAAATGAGTGAGGATATTCAGTAAGGATGCGACTTATTCTCTGTTTGGGTTCAGGAAGATGACTGCGTCATCCGCATATAGAGAAAGTCTAATTTTAGCACATCTTCCACGCAGGGGGGAGAGGACACCATCACTTGTCACTAGCTCCAGGATCTTTTGAAGCGCATCAATTGCTAGGATGAACATGTATGGGGATAGGGGGTCACCCTGCCTCAGACCCCTAGCATGTTTAATTTCTTCCCCTTCAGTGCCATTAACCAGGATGGACGAGCGTGAAGAGCACAACAGCAAGGATATCCAATCCCTCCATCTCGAGCTGAAACCACGGTGTTCCATCATCTCTATCAAATAATCCCAAGAGACCGTGTCGAAGGCTTTTGAGATGTCTAGCTTGAAAAGCAACGATGGCGTCTTAGTTTGGTGATATGCTCGCGCCAGGTTCCTCACGTACATGTAGTTGTCATGTATGCAGCGTCCTTTGATGAAAGCACTCTGTGAAGCTAAGATCAAATGGTCCATCTGCCTTGATAGCCTGATGGCCAGAGTCTTTGTTATCAGCTTTCCAAAGGAGTGCACTAGGCTAATGGGCCTAAAGTCCTTCGCATACTCAGGTGTTTCAGTTTTAGGGATGAGGACAATATTGGCTCCATTGAGATGTTCCAGAGGTCCTGCCCGTAGATTGTAAAAGGAGCTCATTGCTGCCATTATGTCATCCTTGATCGTGTGCCAGCATTTTTTGTAAAAAATTCTAGTGAAACCATCGGGTCCCGGAGCCTTTTCTGCAGGGAGCATCTTGATGGTATGTTCCACTTCTTCCTCAGTGAAAGGCATGTCTAAATCATTGTCCTCAATCCTCGCATAGTCAGAGGTTGTTCCAATCTATGCTTTATGCACTCAACCCTAGTACCCAAAAGGTCATTGTAGAAACGGTACAAGATCTCTTCCTTTTCCTCATGGCTCCAGACGATTACATTTTCCTGGTTTTTGAGGTAAGCAATGAGGTTTCGCTTTCACCTTCCATTAGCACGTTGATGGAAGAATTTTGTGCACGCATCTCCCTCTCTTATTTGGGTCACCGCTTAACACCGCTCGTCGTCTTGACCTTTCAATCGCCGCCCACCCCAGCACTTGGTGTTTTAGGTCCTTCAAAAGATTCAGTTCTGTCTCTGAGAGTTGTCTGGTTTCTGAGCGGTTTCCATGCGAAGAATTGCTTCGTTTGCCAAGTTGAGTTGCAATCGTGCGTTGCTGAAAAGAGATTTGCTCCAAGATTTCAGATCAGAAGCGGTTAGCCTCAGGCGATTGTGTAGTCTCATCATTGGGTTGATGCCAAGAATGTGTTTGGCCCGAAGCTTGCGAGACCACTTCATTAAAATCTTGGATCCTTATCCGAAATGTTCAAATCTGAAAGTAGCTTTCCTTGGTTGTTGTTTTTGGCTACATAAGAATAACGGACAAATGATCGGAGAGGGAACTCGAGAGAGCTTGTAGGCCAATCTCCGGAAAAGGTTGGACCCATCATGGTTACAAAATACTCGGTCCGGTGAACCCGGCGTTGGTGAGGCTCTCCCATTACTCGTGTGTATCGTCGATTCAACAATCTAAGCTCAAACAACTCGCTATGCGTCTAGCGCCCTCTGAACTTTCTCATGTGAGTACGATTTATATTACCATTATTCTTATCACTAGCATCACAGATCAAATTGAAATCCCCCAAGGCGAGATCCATGGAGTACTTTTATGCGCAGTCGACAAATTGATCGATTCGATAGGAAGCCATTCTTTGCGTTATGTTCATCGGACCATATCTGATTGTCAATATAAAAGAGGTGTTGGTTAACTTCATAGTCAATCTCAAAGTCAGTGTGAGGTTTCTTGACCATTTGGGTTGCCACAATGAAGTCATCATTCCAAGCAACAATAATACCCCCCCTTGTTTCATCACCTCGATGTATTCCAAACCCCATCCCCTTTGTCCTAGGAATTGACTTGCAAAAAAGAGTTTATGTTGCTTAATTTACTCTCCGGAGAGGCAGACAATGTGTGGCCTTGCTTCTTTGGATTAGTAGCTTGACCGCTCTCTTCTTGCAAGAGATTTTGTTGAGCCCCCTCACATTCCAATTTAGAAATTTTAGTTCGTTATTATTCATTGACATATGAAGAGCAAACAGTTCTCGTTGACCAACCCCAAAGACCACCCTAGGCAAAAAGCACACACAAGAGCAAAGAAAGCGAAACTTTCTTGCTACAGACTTAACATAGAAGCTTACACCACCACTCATTAGATCATTATGGAGCGCTCCTCCTACAGTACCACCCAGGAGCTTGAACCCCAGCCCACCATCAGTTCTAACACGAAATAGCATTTCTTGAAAGGAAACTAACTCTACCAGCTTAAGGCCGGTTGCTGCTGGCACTAACACAAAGCTACACAACATTGGAAACAGCAGGAACTCTCATCTTCTTTTTCTCCTTGTTGTACTGTCTCCTCATGGTACCTCCATCTCTGCAGCACCTGCCTCAGCCGCCAGTGCCGCAAGGACTTTGGCCAGCTTCTTGTTGCCCAGCCTAGCAGCAACTCTGATGGTGTCAATAGCCTGGTCTGGTAGGTCCTGCCCATACAGATCAATGTACTCCGTGGCCGCCGAATCAGGAGGTGCTGCAGGTGTGTCTATGAACTGGAGCTCCCTCATGAGCTTCCGCTGCGCCCTCTGCGAGACCGGTACCGGCGAAGGTCGGGCAGCCTGCCTAAGACTGGTGCGGGTGGCCACTATCAGCTTCTTGCGGCTCCTGCTTGCCCTCGGCAGCTGCGGGGTGTCCGGCCTCGGAAGGAGCGGTGCGGTAGTGTCCTTGAAGATCGCCTTGCAAAAAGTCGCACAGCCGACGGACGCCGCAGCGCCCGATGCCCCAGCCACAACCTGCCCACCGTCCTCCACCGTGGCCTCATCAGTGCCTAGTCCTCCTGCAACAGCAAGCTCTGCTGCCCCACCAGCAGCCTCGAGTATCATACCTGACCTAGTGGTGCCGTCGATGTCCATCCTGGTCACCCTATCAGAGATCTCCTCCACCTGGGACTCCTCCACCGACTGAGCCACCGGCGACACCTGGACACCCGGGCCGAAGACAATGTCATCTCCCCCCTGGCCCAGAGTTGACAGCGGTCCACCAGGGGCAAAGGGGCCCGAGGTAGGCACGTACACTGGGGACTCAGCTCCGCGATCGTCACCATCGGGGTAGTAGCAAATGGACGGGTGGTTGTACACCGGCGCCGCCAAAGACTCAAAATCCCACTCACGGCCGCCATGAACAAGTCATTTTATTTATCGTTTGAACTAGACTATACAAATTGGTCCAAAATATTCAAATTGGTCCAATTTATCTCTAACTGACGTTTTCTCTCCATCCAATTTGTGTTTTGGGTTTAAACATTGGTGAGGTGATGCATGACACCCACCACATTAAAAAAAATACCGAGTGTTTTCCATGCATTCTAATATCTCAGGTGATATCAAATGCTAACCGATCAAAATAACCACAACTCTAGAAGTAATCTATTTTTTTTTAACTCTTGACATACAAACTCACAAAATTTTTACATCCAACTTTATGTCTCACTGTGTGACAAAAAAAAATCGTTAGGGGGTGAATTGGAACGATAAATGATGTGATTAGTTGGATGTATATGTCCTAGCCAGACTCGTCGGATGCAAGTTCCTACACATACATAGATTTTGAGCATTTGTGATGACCAGACTCGTTGGATGCAAGTGCTTACCCATGTAAAGATGTTATTAGTATATAATTAGTACTCCCTCCGTCCCAAGATAAGTGACGTTTTTGACTTTTATACTTTTTGTTTGACCGTTCGTTTTATTTATTTTTTGTGTAAATAATAAAATAAATAAGTCCATTTTAAAGTATCTCTAATGATAGAATAAGTCATAACAAAATAAATAATATTTATACAAAATTTTTGAATAAGACTAACGGTTCTAGGACAGGAATCACTATCGGTTGATAATACAATTCAGCAGTGATACTATCACTGGCAGTGATAATTATCTATCACTGCCTGTTATTTTTTAAAATTTATCAGTTATTTTTAAATTCAGCAGTGATACGCTTGTCGATAGTAATTTATCAGTGAGGGCCAACATATTATAGTTGGGTATTCCCGGTTTATCCTAGAAAAATGAAAAAAACAGTCCAAAAGCACAAAAATGTTTAAATACTAATGATTAAATTTAGAAGTGATCAAGTTCCAAATGTCCACAAAATAAACCTACAAAATATTTAAAGAAGCTACGATAACATTAGCGTCGTGCTCCTTGAAGCTACTGATGATATGGCTACCTTTAACATGCAAACGGGACTCACACTTGACAAATGAGACCAATGACACTCTCCAGCTTATGAATTCTCGTTCTTATTTCACAAATTATTCTTCACACATAATTTATTGAGGAAAAGGACTCTCTCAGTAGTACTAGTATTACTTAGGCAACTGGAGGTACTAGCACCAATAAGAAGCTTATAAATAACAACAATTTGAGTTGTTTCTTTATTTTAACAAAAAAATAATGAAAAGGTGACCCTTAGCAGCTAGTGTCGAGTCGACTATATGGGCCTTGGGAGTTGGGTGGCTGAGACACTACAGGCCCTGGATATCGTCACCCACTCAGGATTAAGGCTAAAGACCTGCGTTCTGGATCGGAGCGGAGGCCCCCGACCCCAAGGCATCCTTCATATTCGTTTGGCTATGGCTTATCTGTAAATAATCGTAAATTTTTAGTTGAAATAATATTTTTCTTTCACACAAATCAGCCAGTAGTACTTCTTCACGAACCAACCAACCGAACAGGCTGTTTGCGACTATAAAACTTTCCGAAGAATAGTAGTCGAGATCGGGGCCTCTTGCTAGTCGGGAGTCGAGACCGAGGACTCTGCCACTACCACTACATGTTAGCCCTGAAAGAAGCTAGCACACCATCTCAAAATTGGTCTCCACCACGGAGCCCGCCTTTATTATTGAAGTGGGCTGGGCTTGCTGATCCTCGTATTTACGTGGTGATTGACTCCACAATGCAAACATGTAAATAGTTTCCTGCCCAGATTTGGTACTAAACTTTGTCAGCTCAACCTTTATGCTAGCTAATTAGCTAGTTTTTATCATTAAGTGCCTTTGTAAATCTATCGTGTTGGTAGTCTGCAGTAACCTCGCGCGCTCTACATACTTAATATAATAAATTGCAGCTAGTTCTATTGAAGTTTTGTTCCACAAATTAAACCACCTGATGCCATACACTCATATATCCTTCGGTCCAGTTTATTTATTATAAGATGCTTTCTAACCTTGCCTTGCACGGTCTCCTAATTTATACTTTGACCATCGTAAATGGTCTCGATAGTGTTGAGGTGCCAAATATATCCGATTTTGCAGTTTGGGGTAAGAGTTTAGGGGGGCAAAAATAAACTCAATCCTATAGAATGTAACACATATTCTATTTCATCGTATCGCCCATAAATAATCTTAGAACATGCATCGCTCTCTCTCTCTAATAATGTTTTCATTCTCATAAATTACCATCCTAAAATTGCCACAGCCACACACGGAGAGTTCAGCTAGTTTATATATAAATAAATAATAAATAAGAACGTATATACATAGAGACGACAGAGATGTGAAGCCAAGCCACAACATTTTAATTTCCTAATAACGAAGTTAGTACATCGATCAAGCGACTAGCTATGTAACTGAATCAAAGAGACATGCATACAATCCTAGGCATGCATCATCATCTACTACTACTACCACCACCACCACCACCACCACTACTACTACTAGGTAGAGAACTAATAGAGATAGCTAGACTGGTGTCTTCATCTCTATATCTTGTGGTAGCACAACTTCAACTTACACATAGGCCGGCTCAGCTCGGATTTAGTTTATGGATGGCTTGATTCCGATCCATATATACATGCATTGCACAGGCAGAGCATATACATCATGCATGGGTTACATATCATGCACCGGCCGGCCGTATACGTGTGTGTGATGGAAGGATGAAGAAGAGACACCCAGCCTGAGCTCAAGGTCGAGATCGCCGTCAGCATCCTCCGGGGCACCACCTGCTGGAGCATGCGCAGTAGGGGTAGTAGAAGTGACTGCAGCAGTGTTGCAGTTGCTGCACACCGCTCCAACCCCCAGCTCCAGCTCCATGGACGACGGGCCCTTACTGTCACCATCACGATCAAGCAGCTTCTTGCTGCTGCTGCTGGGGCGATGGCGATGGTACTGTGGCGGTGGATAGTTGAGGTTGGGAATCATCATCATCATCGCCGGCAGTGCCCTGGCCGGTGGTGGTGGTGGTGGTGGTGGAGGACGAAGAGGAGGAAGAGCAGGAGGTGAGCCGTGCCTGAGCCTTGCCCTGTCCCTCCTGTGGACATTCATGTGGCCCCCGAGTGCCTGCGCGGACCAGAACTCCCTCTTGCAGAAGCTGCAGGGGTAGGATCGCGGTGGCCAAGTGAAGCTGCAGCTGCTGTAGCTCCATGACGATGCTGCTGCCTGCTGCTCTCTGCTTGATGTGCCCTGCTGCAGCTGCTTCTTCCTGCTCTCCCTCTCATCCATGGTAGCTGCTACTGCTAGATCTAGCTCTGCTACGTACTTCTCTTGCTTGCAATGTAGCCAGAAGGTATAGCTAGCTAAGAGATACTATGCATGGTGGAGTGCTTTGCTAGGTGGTATGTAATGGCCGGTATTGCTGGTGCGTAGTGATGAGTGGAACGAAACGGTGTTGCTGGCTAGCTAGCTATTTGTACACCGATCGATGTCCCGCTACCTCCATCACTAGTGCAGTAGTGAGTGCTGCCTGCTCTCTCACTAGCCGGCCGGTCATGGATCGGATAGATCGATCGTCGTCGTCATTTATCATGCAAATCCACTTCACGACTCACTCACTCTTTGTGTGTGTCTCTCTCTCTTCTGAACAGTTGTGCATGCTATTGTCGTGTTCGCTTGGCTTATAAGCCGTACTTTTTCAACCAACGAACAATATTTTTCTCTCACAACAAATCAGCCAACAGCAAGGAAAACAATTTCGGCGAAATTTCGCCGAAAAACCCGAAATTTCATGTTTCGGTGGGTCCCGAAAAAAATCCCATGCCAGTCAAATTTTTCAGCTGAATTCGGCCTCCCCGCCTAAATCACGCGCCAAAAGGCCCAGAACGCCGATTCCCGCCGTCCAGCCCACCATATAGTCCCCCGAAACCCTAAATCCACTCATTTTACTCCCCAAATCGACCTCTGCTCCCAAGTCCCGACCGACACGGACACCTGCGGCACCAGCGTGTTGCCGGCGCCCGCCCTCACGCCTGCGCCGCGCGCCCGCCCTCACGCCTGTGCCGCGCGGGTGGCCTCTCCCGGCTCCCCGCCCATGCCGGCGTGCCACCGGCTCTCCCCGACCGTGCCGGCGCGCCGCCAGCCCTCCCCGCCCGTGCCGACGGTGGTGACGGGGCTGCCGACGGTGGTGACGGGGGCACGGGGTTGCCGACGGTGGAGGACCTAAATCACAAGCGGGGAAGGCGGAGGAGTTGCCGACGGCGCGTCACTCCGATCGCTGCCACAAGCAAGCAGGTTGTTCTGTGGTTGCTAAGCAGAGGCTCCTCCTGGAAATGAGTGTTTTGTGATGCTGGACTAAAATTTGGCTCATGATTTAGTTCTCATCATTTATCTGTGTTGTTGTGCACCATGATTTGTCTATGTAGCCAGTAATTGGCATCTACCCAGTGATTTGCTTCCTTCACAGGCTAGTTGTTGTGACATGTTAAAGTGAGCTTGAGAGTACCTTTTTGAGCTGAACAGTAGGTTAATGCTTTGAATGCATAGATTAGAACATCAGGAATTTTTCTGAGGTTACAGTTCTTTCTAATTTCTGCTTCTATATATAACAAGGTTGAATAAATTGGTTGGTTTATAAGTGCCATATGAATCTGTTGAAAACAATATAAATGCGGTTATAAGTGCCATATAAATTGGTTACAGTTCTAATTTTGATTACCTCTTCCTTTTTCTCTCTTGCTGAAATGTTGCGTAAATTCATCAAAACCACATTATAGTTGCCTGTGTGATGAGCACCAAGTGCTAGCAACTAGTTAGTAGTACAGAAATCATGTTCGTATGTATACCAACATCAGTGTGCTTGGAAGTATCAATGGATTCCTGTTACTTGAATAATAAACTAATACAAAAATAATAAGTTCTCACATGGTATGATTAATTAGAAAACTTTCTTTTGTTGTCAGTCTTTAGGTCCAAAACATCATCACAACGCCATGCTGAGGATAGAAGAACCAGATGCCAATGCCATTGGTGGGCAAGACAGAACGGCTGCGATGGAGCGGCAATGTTGCAGCAAGGTACTTGGTGGGGGGCCCGACAGCTACTCCGGTGGAGCCGGCGATATTGTGAGGAGTAAAACAGGTGAGCTTGCATATGATTTTGCAATAGAGGTGCACTGCAATGGTTTTGCACGACATTTGATCATTTTCTAGTGGTTTTACATTATCCAGCACATAATTTTGTATTGTAATGAGCTTTGTCTATGTGTCTTGTGCATCATTGTATATATATTGCCATCCTTGCTGCATGTGTTTTACACCATATCCTGATTTACTTTGTGCACAGCCCACACTTGTTTAGTGAGGTTCTAAATATTTTGTATGGTAATATGAGCTTTGTCTACGATTTCGGTTTGCTTGATTTCAGATTACATTAATACTGGGTTTGTTTCAGATTTCAGTTCAATATAAGTTAAATCACATTTTGGTACCAAGTTAATGTATTTTCTTTCTTTTGAACTGTAGGGACTGAGGTGCGTCTACGAGGACCAATTACGGAGGCTTGGAGCCATGGAGATAAGTGGAAAAGCAATGGTTTCAGTTGTGCTTATTGTTCGATTAAAAGGGATAGTGGAGGTGTGACCCGTCTGAGGAATCATCTAGCTGGAATGGCGGGGGATGTGGTGTCATGCGAAAATGTGCCAAAGTTTGTGAGGAATATAATGTTGGTAGAGAGTGCAAGAGGGAAAAAGAATAGGGCTGATGCTAAGGAACATCGTCTCTATGTGGAAAAGGCAATTATGGAGGAAGCTTATGGAGATGCTAGAAGGTCTAACATTCCTCGTGATGAAGATGGGCAGCTTGAATGGGCATTAAGGGAATCAATGAGGGATACAGGGAGGTCAGGTGTTAGCTATTCACCATTGTTTGGGGCAAGCAAAGCAGGAACAGCCACACAGACGTGGTGAAAGATGCAATAGTAACACTCCACCTTTAGAGAGAGCAAGTGGCTCGGGAATCAGACTACAATCGTGAGGGTTCTACCATAGTCCTAGTGTTTCTCAAGCTCCATTTGATTTAGATTTGGCACGCAGCAAGGCACCAACGCAGCCTAGGGTGGACATTATGCTACAGGGGGATTCTAAAATTAGACTTGGAAAATTTTGGTCAACGTGGTTCCAAGCCAATGATATTCTTTCGAACGAAAGCTAATCGCCCATATTTTGCATCGACCATTAAATTAACCCAACAAACTTGGAGAAGGAGTGGCTATTCCATCGGGAAGAGAGATAGATGGCCCTTTGCTGGATTTGAACTATGAAGACTTGCTAGCTCAAATGGAAGATCATAAGGAAAATTGGGCTCGATATGGAGTCACTGTGATGTGTGATTCATGGACAAGACCATACAAGATGTGCACCATCAATTTCATGATATTTTGCAATGGCCGCATGTTTTTCCATAGTTCTGTGGATGCAACTGGTCATTTCCAAAAAGCTGCATTTATTTATGGGCATATTAGAAAGGTAGTTGAAGATGATGTTGGGGCAAAGAATATTGTTCAGATTGTGACTGATAATGGTTCCAACTACAAGGCAGCTTGCAAGCAACTTGTAGCTAAACATCCACATATCACTTGGCAGCCATGTGCAGCACATACTATCAATTTGATGTTGAAAGAAATATCATCTTTTGCTGAGGTTGATGAAGTAGTGCGAAGTGCACAACGGATATGCAAATTCTTCCACAGCCATAATAGGTAACTCTCCCATCTTTGACTTGTTTATGTTTAGATTAGAAGAAACAATCAATCATAGATTATTCTAGTTTAGCATCTATCTATTGCACATGTAAAGTAAGAGCTGATCATAGCTCATAGCTGCTGAACATAGCTTCAACCTATTGCACATGCAAAATAAGGGCTGATTATAGCTCGTAGCTGCTGAACATAGCTTCTACCTATTGCATATGCAAAGTAAGGGCTGATTATAGCTCCCAACTACTGAACATGCATTTTCTCCATGTAGAAGTGCAGCTTACATGTCCTTATTTTTCTAGGCTTCATGCTACGATAAGAGAAAAGATAGGTGGAGAATTGACTCGATGGAATGCCACCAAATTTGGCACAGTTTTCTTATTCTTGCAGAGTTTTTGGGACAGAAAAAATAAATTTTAAGCATGGATGGTGTCCAATGATTAGGCAAATAGTAAATGGAAAGATGATCCAGACTATGAATTCACATATGATTGCTTGACAAGTAGGGTGTGGTGGGAAGATGTGGAGTTGGTGTTGAAAGCTGTCACACCACTGTATTGTGTGCTTTGATTTGCTGATCAATAGAAGAATGGGACAATATCTGGATTCATTCCAAGGATGTTAAAAGCTCAGAGAGAAATATTTGCTAAATTGAAGCATGATAAAAAAGCTACAAAGGATCTCCTAGATAGGATCAATGAAGTAATAAATCGGAGAACTCGATATCTTCTTAATGGAACTCTCATGCTTGCAGGTACAGAATTAAGAGCTGCACTAAAAATTCTATAACTTATGCCTTTTTCATGTATTTTTTGTTGAACTTGCTCATAGAACTGGTAGACTTGTTGTAGACTGATCTATAGCGTTTTTCATGCATTTGTTGTGTTGTTCGTATCAATATTGGCAGCCATAAATATTACTTCAACTGTATATGTCAACCATGCTTACTGCTAATTATTTTACATGAAAATATGTCAACATCTTACAATATTATTAGCCGCTGCATTCTATTTCAGTTGTTGGAGTTTTCTAACTAATACTTTTTTACCTATTCCCATTCCTAGCTGCTGCACTTGACCCTGAATCGTTGTATCACTCAAAAATTGCACAAAATCATTCTATTGTACTAGCTGTAGTTGTTGCACTTAAAAAGTTAGCAAGCTCACCAGAGGAGGCATCTAAAGCTATTGACCAGTTTATGAACATATTCAGTCAAAAGAAAATGTTATTTGGATCATTAGAGGCTCGGAGCTCAGCACTTCGTGGTCAAACCAGTCGAGGTATTATATTTTCTTGGCCAAATCAGTTTGCATATTTGTTTTTTTAAACTAAATGCTAAATTCAATCAATTCACTGTAGCTGATTGGTGGAATTCATATGGAGGTCAGTGCAAAGATTTACAGAAACTTGCAATATGCATTGTTTCACAATGCAATTCATCAAGTGGATGTGAGCGAAACTGGAGTACTTTTGCTCTGGTTCATACTAAATTTGAGAAATAAGTTGAGTTATGACAAGCTTATGAAGTTGGTCTA